GGCAGAACAAAAAATTAGTCCCACACCCTCTTTGAGTGCCACTCCAATCCTCTTCCTCCTCTTGATCTGCTGCTCTTCTTTTGGCTTCCTGCCCCACCTGCTACTGTGCTGCCCCTCCTCTCCTCAGTCTGTGGTGTGCCATATGCAGAGGCTGTCCATGCCACTTGTGGCATGTGTGCTGCAGGTTGGCAAACCCTATTCTAGAATATTACTAGCAGTGGCAAGAGTTTTCACATTCTAGCAATGAATATTTTCCAAAGGCAACATCATCAAGGTCCAGTTGATCAGGCAACAATATGTACTACCTGTGTACTCAACTAAAGCTTTTATTTTAAAATGTGAGAAAGAAATAACCTCATTGTGTTCCAAACAGGCAATCATGATCTCTGACAATATGACAACTCCAGTTCTTCCTACGCCTGCGCTGCAATGCACCAGTACAGGAGGGTTAGGGCTTTTAGGATCCACTGTGCTGTTTGTATGACGCCGCACTGACTGTATCTCTTCCAAGTATGCTGTTGGTTCCAATAGAAAAAAAAAGACATATAGATGCATACTCCACCATGTTCTTCTCTAGTGATAGTTGCAACAATCATCATAGTGCATTAAATCGTATTCCTGCTAACAATGTTTCAATAAGTAAATTAATATCCCATTCAAAGCAATAGGAAGTTGCACAGATTATTCTCTCTTTACTTGGTGTTTTGTGCCTGGGAAGCATTTTCCTGGCAAGGTAGCATATGGCCTGAGCTTCTGTTGCTGGCAAACCTTTACATGGATGGCATGCAATGTAATTATATTTTGATTTATAGGGATTTTAATAAATAAACTGCATCATCTTAGAGGCAGAAATAGAACTTTAATAAATGGACAAATATATTCCTGCCAAAAATACCAATTCAGCCTCCATCACTAGTGTGAAAAAACCTCTTATATCAGGATGTTTCAAGGTCCTATATTGAAGCCATAGTAGGTGGTTTTGTTGCAGAGGGGATTAATACAACTTACAAAGAAATCCCTTTATATCCTCTGGACAGCCATGCTCTGGCCAGTCAGTGTACTGCAGGTGCCAAACTGTTCTCTCCTGCCCTGTGAGAAGGTGTTTGATCTTCAAGCCTGTAGTTGCGTAGCAGCCTGAGTCTGTACGGAATCGCGTGGTAATCTTAAATCTCCCATATGTGACAGTGTTGTGTCTTGACCCAAGTCGTGGCCAGTACCTAAAACACTTTTCTCTCCCGGCCTCCTTGAAAACAAGGTATTGTAAATATCAGGTGTGAAAATATACACAACTGACAGTGTTGTAGCAATTCCAGCATTTCCATCCTACTATGTACTCCTTAAGGCTTCTTCACAAGCTTAACTAGTCATCAGTTAATGAAGAAGCCAATACTAAGGCCTGCTCTATGCAATCTAGGACTTTCCAATAGAGTTATGCCAATAAATCTGTCTAGTGGAGACAAGCCACACCTATCCCCCTTGAAAGAATCCTTTTTGCCACTGTAACTGTCATTACTAGACTTTTTGCCCCAACCAACTTCATCATGCTAATAGAAGTTTCTAGTGTAGACTTGGCCTCAACAGCAAGTACCTACCTCTTCTGCTGTCACCATTGCAATAATGGCAACCCCTTGTTCCCACACCATCTGCCAGAAATCCTGACATGTATTCTGCAAAGGGCCTTGTGTAGCAATATAATCCCACTCAATGCCCCCAATGGAAACCTGTTAAAAAAGGAGAAAAATGAGGGATCTGTGAGGTTATAAGGAACATGTTCTGTGAAAGTGTAGAAGTTGAAAGAAAATGGTAAAAATAAGGGATTGAAGGTAGGTATTTTGAGTCACGTAATCCTACCTGGTTCACTGCCTACCATTACCACACAACAACTATAAACAGGTTGAAGGAAATAAGTATATTTAGTTTAGAGAAAAGGAAATTAAGGGAAGACATGACCACAATTTTCAAAAATCTGAAGGCTGCTAAAAAGGAGAGGAAGAACAAATTGAAGGGAATGGGATTAAACTACAGCAAAAACAGATTTTGATTAAATCTCAGGGGGGAAAAAAAACTTCCTGGAGCACATTACTTTTGAGGTTCCTTTCAAGCCTCTGATTCTCTCTTCCAAAAATGTATTATTTTACACATATATGCAAAAGAAAAATACAGTTAAGGAGATGTATTTTAAATACACAATATAGCGTATAACTGAGGGGAAAAATTAATGTGTCCTACTGGGTGAACTGTATGCATTTAGAAAAACTTAGTTTCAGAGAAGTATTCTAGCTATCATGTGGGTAGTGCCACTTTTACAGAATTAAAGAGAGTGTTCCTTGGTCAGTGAATGAAGGTTTTCCCTTCAGATTTCTAGGTTGGTTCAGGAAAGCCAAAAGGACCTATTTTCAGATTCTGTTTTTACATACACTATTTGGTTGGTACTATGCCAAATCCCGTTAAAAACATATAAATGCCTATCAGTACCTAAGAGACCTTAACTCTCTTCAAAAGCATCAAATGATTTGAAGTCATATCCTGGAAAAGGGCAAGAGCCCTGAAAATACATTGAAATTCACTTCAGAAAGTTTCCTTATAAGGTTTAAGAAAAGGGGCACATAGCCAGGGGTGATGGTGGAAGATAAGTGAAGAACAGCTTCCTATCCGACTCCATTTTCTTCCTGTAGCCATCCAAAAACAAGCTCTGGCCCAGCGCAGGCACTGCCACTTTAAAAGTCTGGTCCACAGAAGCAGAAGGAATAACAGTGCACTTAATTTTAAGTTATTTAGGTTTAAGAGTGGCACATACCTATAGACACACACACAGTTTTGTATATAAAAACTGCTTAAAATGGAGACAAGACTCCTATACACGGTCCTTTAAGAAACGATCCAATACATTTTGAGGGTTATTGCACATTTTTCCACAACTTTAAGGTACAAACTTGCCTCCCATTAGCACAAAAAGAAAAAAAGTGATGGAATAAATGCTGTACAGCAGATGTTTCCAGTACCTGATCCTGAATTCTTTCCAGCTGTCCAAGAAAAACACCTCTTCCCCAAAAAGTCAACATTAGCATGAAAAGGAAAAAGAGAACAGACAAGATATTAACTGCCCCCCCAGCCACCATATTTTTTCTTCAATCTAAATATTTTTAAGTACAGAACCAACTGACAAACATTTCTTCAGCTGTACTTTTCTTACCTTAATGTGAGATGCGTTGATGTAGCCTGTGTTATTTTCTTTGGTTGGGACCAGCTCCACTCTGGTATCATCATAGGGAAGGACATCCTGGAACCTGTTTCTCTCAGCATTTTCAGGGAGCCGGGCTATTGAACACTCACCATCAATGAGCCTTTTCTTTTGAATCCGCTCATATTCTGTAAACACCATCCCCTGCTCTAACCGTTGTTCAAGAATTTTACACTACAAGACAGAAAAAGATAAGCATACAAAGTTTCAGGCCAATTCCGTTTTACTAGTAACAATGCAATGAAAATAATTTAATATAAATAAAATGCACAGATTTTTCTCACTTCTAATTTTTGTAATTACTTCCCAGATATCCTTGTTTGTATAGCACATCACAGTAAACCTGGAGTGGCAAATTCTGAAGTCCTTAAGCAGGCAAATCTTTAAGGCAGTGGGAGTTCTGTTGAAGTGGGAGCCGACTCAGAACTTCAAGATATGGCAGTTAGACACAGAGATGGTAAATAACATTCAAAAATGATTTTTTAATTTCTGTAGAGATAACACAGTCAGACATGGGACCAGTTTTGCTAGACAAGGTCATTACAGCATTTCCCCAGATTTGGATGAAGATGTTTAGAAACTTTTCTGCTTGGTTTAGGAGGTTGGACTGGGTAATTTGAGAGATCTCTCTTCTAACCCTGATATCTCTGTACTCATCAGTACTCATCTTCATTCCTTAGCAGGAGAGGAAGCTTGGCTAAATAAATAAATTCGTCATACTCTACAACTACCCTCTTAGTCTGTCACCCTGCAGATGATAAATGCTGAAGACAGCAGCAAGGTCTTCATAGAAACACAAATTCCTCCTACAAGAATAATTAATTGCATTTTATTTAATATGACTTGATGGAAGTCCAATTTATTTTTTCAAAACCGAATTCTTTCTAAATCATGAGAGACTTTTGGTATTTGTGTTTGGCAAAAATAATTAAATGAATAAGACGGAGATTTAAGCCAATAATCTACTTCTGTTGTCACAAGCAGCCAGACTCTCATGTTAACATCTGAATGTCCATGTAGCTATCAGACAAGTCAGGAATTTTGTTGCAAACAGATGCCATTACCACATGCTACAGAAAAAAAGCACTAAATCTCTACTGACAATGTCTATACTGAAACGCTCTAGAGCAGCAGCCTCTTCCACTTTTTTTTTTTTTGGCCATGATTTCTAGCACAGAATGGACAAGAAAGGGCACAGAATCACAAAGCTGAGCATCAGAAGATTTTGAACAAACATGAAGTAAACTTGATATTCTAAGAACCTTTGAAATCCTGTGAAACTGGACCTTCTTTCTTCTTTCTATTACATGCGCCTGAATTATTTTGTCTACCTCCTATTTAAACTGCAAACTTGTTCAGCCAGGAACATTCAATTTATAGAGCATCAAGCACAAGTACGCTCAATGCTAGAAGAGTGGCAAGATTTTTAAAGCTTTAAGTATTTACCTCATCAACAGCTCCATTCTTTGAGGGTAGCATTAGACAGCTGCTCCCTTATCCTGATGGATCTTTTGCACAGTCCTATTCTATTTAACATGTACTTCAGATGAGGCTGCTTGGCAAGGAAATGAGGTGATGTGCACACTGAGCACGCACCTCTCTGAAATCTTTGAAGGCTTCAGTGAAGATTCTGTTTTCCCAGCTGTTTGGTTCCAACTTAAAAAACGATAAATATTATATACTGCCCACTTGCCCAAGGACTGGGGCTAAGGCAAATTACACAAATCTAAGAAAAAAAAGGAGTTATAAACTTGTATACAACTCCCATCCTTAGTCTTCTTAGGCACTTTTACCAACAGCCTGTCAGGAATTACAAGTCTCATTCACCAATTACCCTCTACATCTGACTCAGTTTGAAACTAAGATATTCTAGCAGTTAGCCTTTGCTAATGCATTTCATTTTTATGATTCTAGTCCTAAGGAGAAAGCAAATATTCCATAAAATTGAGACATACCCGTTCATCATTTGTTGCTCTAGTAGACTCTTCCTTACCCTCATCTGGCAGAGGCATTCGAGACAAGGTTAGTCCATTTAGGGCAGCTAACTTTAGAGGCCCTATTTTTTTTGCTTCAGTTTTGTTTTTTTTCATTCCCTGCCAAAAAAAAAAAAAATTAAGTTATACCCTCTAGAAAACACTGGACAAATAACAAAGCAGACTTAGGAGGGGTTCAGCTTTTGGAAACAGAGGACTACCCTTGTTATTATCTTTGAAAGCCAGTGTGGTAAAAGATTCTGGTGGTAGAACCACATTCTTTCACAGGACCCGACACCAGTCTGTCTTCATTCCAGCAAGTTACTGAAACTTCACAAGAATGGGAAATATTGTTCTCTTCAGGTTAGGCCCTAGGGCAAGGAGCAGTTTGGAAAGACTAACATCCTTAAACAGAATTAGAATCTCCAACAGTTCAAAATAAAACACAAAAATACCATATATACAATCAATTTCATCTGTATTAGACAACATTGTTTGTGGATCCAATTTTCAGAAATGATCCCAATTTTGTAGGTGTATTTTACAGTATCTAGGTGTGTCTAAGCATTTCACTGAACCTACAAATCAGGTATTTAAGGTATCACAGTAGTATAAAGAGTGCCTTCAAGAAATTGCAGATACTAAATCATGGGCACAGAATTAGAGGCCGAAATGAAGTGCCTTGGAAAATCATTCTTTACAGCAGCACCTAAAACGCGCTAGGCAGTGTACAAACACACAGAAAGAAAAAGTCCCTGCCCTAAGGACTTGCAAAATATACCAAAGAAGTAAGGCCAGAGAGGATCATGAATGACTTCGCACAGTTGTGCACAAACATATAAAATTTTGTAAAGCAGGAGTTGTGGAAGAGATGGGTAGCTTGCTTGACCAGGAGGAATTGAATTTGTAAGACACAGAATGGTTAGAAGGCTAGACAAAAGGGGAGAGGGAGCCTGAGGAGGAAAGAAAAGAAAAATGGAGGAAGTGAATACAAAGAAGGGTGAGGGACAAGGACATGGGAAAGAATGAGGGAAAAGGAGATGGAATATCTAGGGCTTCATGACATTATGTTAAGTGGGAGAGGAAGAAGAATCTAGAAAATACACATGACCACTCAAGTCCTATGGTTAAACTCAGAGAATGGGTCTAATGATGTCAGAAAGCTGTTGGTGGAGAGGAGGAAACTACTCCTGTTCCAGCCGGAAGGGGCATCAGAAGCTAGTTCCTCATGGATCTGAGATCGATCCAATAGGAAGTGGGAGGACCAGCTGAATGGGTGAAACAGTGACAGAAAATAAAAGGGAAAAGAGGTACATAAGGGAAGAAAGGAGAGAAAACATTTGTTTGTACATTTCAAAAATCTTGAGAGGGGTATTTTTAAAACTCAGACATGTTGTATCTATCAGCATGAGCCCTGGAAAAAAACCCAAAACAAAACAAAAAGAAATATCTACTTACACCTAAAGGTGGAAGACCTTCCACAATATTCTTCTTCCCAGACAGAAGATCAGACACAGGTCTCTTCTTCACAGAGTCCTTTCTAACTCTGTACCTTCCTGAAGTTGTAAGGTCAGATTCTGACATAGATGGAGTCAGCAAACCTTCACTTCTTCTCTGCACCTGTGACTCAGCCAGTAAATGAACTGGGCTCATATCTTTCATCCTCTTTTCTGGCTCTGTAATATGTAACTTAGGTTCAAGGATATGCAAAGGGCCAGCAGGTGAAGCAACAGAACTGTAAGGATAACTTAAAAAAGACTCAGAACGATGACCACCCATGATACCAGAAAGCTGGGCTTGGCCTTCAGGGAGAGGAGACAAACTTGCATGAGCTTTTTCTTCTTCAAATTCCTCCTCCTCCTCACTGCTGTGAATCAGCATAGTTGCATCTGAAAGAGACTTTTTATGACCACAGTTCATGCCTTCTTCTTGCTCCTCATTTTCTTCTTGCTTTGTCCTTTCCATTAGAACACTGGGCTGTGACCCTCTTGGAAGGGCCACATCTGCTGCTGATGCTGACATGGTTCTCTCCTTAATTCTGACTCCTTCAAAGCTGTGGACGAGCCCCGCTATTTCAATACTATTTCTTTTCTGTAACTGAGCATGGCGTGCTGATGTTAAGGGTTCACTCACTTCCTGAAGAGAATGTGCAACAGGCAGACTGTCTTCCTGAAACGTCTGGACAGAATGGTGGACTCGTCTTGTGATGAGATCTGGATTGCTGCTGCTTATATAAAGGTGTCGGGAAAGGTCTGGAGTACTGTTTGCAGGTCTTGGGTAGGGGTAAGGAGGAGGTGGTCGATAGACCTGAGTCTTCATGATATTTGGTGCTGGATAATCCTGAGCCTGAAGCTGCACATTTGTCAACTCTGGCACACTGACTGCTCCAACAACTGGACGCTTTTCTGCAGGATATGGGTATGGAAACTGGCTATGAAAACTGTAATTCAGATTAAATGGATAGTGATTAGATTGAGGGGAAGTGAACTGAGCGTGTTCTCGGATTTCAGGTTGGCTGTAAACCAGAGCATCAGGTCTACTGTAAGCATATGAATTGCTGATGTTAAGATTTCTCATTGAATGACTCTGCTTATCTGTGTGTATCATTCCCCTGTTAAGCTGTCTCATCACAGTTTCATAATCTGGGGTAGGCCGGTAAGAAGGTGGTATTAGTGCACTATGTCGATGTGATGGGACATAATCAGGTCTCAGGACATCACTTCCAGTAATGCTTGGGTTAGAGGACATGGGAGATGGCTGCAAGTAGTGCTGTGGGTTATTCAAAGAGTTTGTGCTGTGTGCACTGTAGACACTACCATTGCGGATTCTACCATTGTAGTCATGTGGAGCTCTATCCAAGCTAGTCTGAGAGTGGTAGTAGTATCCATTCTGATTGTTCACAAAGAGGTTATCTGAAAAGAAAGGGTTTAAGCAAACACTACCATTAGGTCCGAACATAAAGAAGCAACTTCTATCAGACATCTTGAATCAGATATTGATATTTTCAAAAACTCTCTCTCAGCATGACTTAGCTTTAAAAATACAGCCAAATCTCCAAGTTGATCACTGTTTGACTTGCAACAATGGAAGTTTTAGTGCTACAAATCTCTTAATATACTGCACTACACAGCTGCCACCTATTGATAATATTTCTGTTTTACTTACTGCTCTGCCTTTGGCATGTCAAATGGATACTACAATACTGTACCGTACTGATTTCAAATACAGTATGGGGAAGACTTGTGTATGGCACTGCCTCCTCTCCCTAGTCACTTATGTGAACTGACTAATAATGGCTCAGGGGAGACTTTCCCTCAACTGTTGTAAGTCTCACAAAGCCTTACAGCAATTGCATCCACCGAGAACCAGGAGGATTACAAGAATTACTGGGCCACATCTGGATAAAAACAGAAGAGATTGTAAGCCTGCTTCTGATCATCTTTCTTTAGATTTTATTTACCCCAGTGATATAAATACTCTTGATATGTACCCATGTGAGGCTTGGTCTTTGTGGGCTATTGTTTTAGCACAGGGGTGGGCAAAATGCAGCCTGCGGACCAGATGCAGTCAGCCAGCCCATTCTATCCGGCCCACGGGGCCCCTCAAAAATTTAGAAAATTAATATTTATTTACCCCTGGTTGCCTGCCATGTGGCCCTTGATGGCTTGCCAAAACTCAGTAAGCGGCCCTCCGCCCAAAATAATTGCCTGCCCCTGCTAAGGTGACAATTTAAACCAGTGCAAATTCCCATGTGGAGACATTATTTTAAGGATGCTTTTTCACTTTCACTTGGGTTGACAAACAGATTTTAATTAAAGCAAAATAAGCCAAAGTTAAGCCACTCTTAAACTGAAATAAAGCAGTACAAATCTTGTGTTTAATTATTCCAGTTACAAAAAAGGAGGAAGCCACAACTAAACCAGTTCAGCTTTCCCATACAGACAAGCATAAGTGGCAGCAAAATCAGGCTCACTATCTATAAACGGGTATCAGTGAAACCTGCAATAAGTGACCATCCTGCCAGCCAAGAGAACTTCTTAAAAAAAAAAAAAAAATCAAACTAAAGTTTTCAGGAAAATCTGGGACTATTTTAAAGTACAGCCAGTTATTGCTGATGTGTGTTTTACCTATCACTGTATGTAGCAAAGTATATTATCTATTGTTTTATGCATTCAGCATATATGAAACAATGGATTCCAAGCCATTTTCTCCATTTTGTAGGATTCACCACTTTATGTAGTTTTTGTGCATGTAGTTTTTTTTAAGGTGCTACTGGAAAACTCCTTATCAAGCCAACCATAAGCTCTTGAATGCCCTTAATGTTTCCGCTTTCTATACAGACTGCTAATTACTCCTATACCAATGGTTTCCACACTGGTTTACAGATCATGCTGGCCCCAACACATCACGAGAGTGATGGAAAAAATTGTTCCTTGTATGTCTTGAAAATATTTGCTATTAAAAGTTTGATGGCAAGGACGCATTGTGGTGCAGGAGAAATTCTGGGTGCTGACAGTGGTTAATTGGTCAAAAAAAGTTTGGGAACCATTTTCTATACTAGTTATAACAGGCAATAAAAGCCTCTCTCTTGCCTGGGTCTCTTGCACCTGACACTTGGAGGTTTCTACTGCTTTCAGGGCCTCAGCTGGTTCCTTGCAGCACGCACAGGCAATAGGACACTAAGTCCATTGATAATTTATTGCTCACTGGCACCCTAAAGGTCCAGGGATATGAAGAAATTACTCAGTTCTGTTCATTACCTCACCTCCTCAAAGTTACCTATAACCAGAGTAGCCATCAGCTAGTTCAACCTCATTCAAGAGGGATTATACCTATATCTACTGTGTTCATAATCAGTAAATCAGTGTTCATTCTCTTACCTCCCTGTCACATACTCATATCTTTCCATAAGTAAAATAAGAGCAAACACAGCAACAAGGGCAATACTGGGGGCTTGCATCATATTTCTATGACTTTTTTTTATAAAACTGTAGGTGTGCAAAGGGACATCAGAGTATAATGCAACGAGCCCTCACTTTAAGGTCCTTTTTCCAAAATCGTATAAGGTGGTGTTATTGTAAATGAAAATTGGCACGTGTGTGGTTTTAATGATTGCATCTGTATGTAGAATTATTTAAGAATTAAACATTGCAACCACATTTTAATTTACCTTGGGATGATGTATATGGTTCCGTGTAGTGCCCGTTGTAATGCAACTGAGGGGGTGCTGACATCATGTAAGGCTGTGGCTTAGGCTAAAAAAGAAGGTTTTTAAAAGTAGTTAAAATTTACAGGACATGTTAAAAAGAAAAACCAGGGGCTATTCTAAAATGAATTCTCTTAATGTTAAAGCATAAAATATTGGTTCACAGGACCAGAAAAGAATAAAAGCCATCAACGTAGTGAGACAGTTAGAACAATCTCCAACACACACTGGAGGATTTTAAATTGAAAACCGAAGTATCCAAAATAATTAAAATAGTGTTGGTAGTAACAGTAGTTAAACATAGACAATAAGCAAGAGCGGGCTCAACTGTGAAACTACTTGATATACATACCAAAGACATCCTGGAAGAAGACCGTCTTCTAACTGGATTCACTGTAACAGTCTGGGTTTGTCTATAAAGAAAGCCATATGATGAGCTAATTTTTTTAGAACACTTTTAGATCCAGCCCTGCCAGGTGCTCATGACCTCCGTTCAGGGCACGCACCAGTACTTGGAATTAGGCCCTGTATTGCCTCCCACCAGTCCCAAAAGGAAGGCCTATATGCTCAAATCACCATCATTGCTAGAAAGACCAGCAAGAAAAAAAAAAGGGTGAGGAGGGACCCGTTTATTTCCACTGCTGCTTCTCTTTACCCTCCTCTCTAGGCTGTTCTTGCACAATGGTCTTCCCTAGCAGCCATTTTCCTATGGTCATCCGCTAAATTCAAACCCCAGTGTTACCCTGCAAGCTCCCTGGCCCGGATGGCTGTCTTCATAATTACCAATAAAAAAGTCTCAACACATGCCACACTATACATATAATAAACCACCGCCACAACTGAATTAGGATTCTGCATCCTTGAACAAATCAAATTTTAGGCACACAAATATTGTCACCATCATTAACATTCTGTATTTGCCAAATAACTGAATGTTGGACTAGTCAGAAACATACAGACCATTTTCTCAACCCTGCACTGTTCCTGTACCCCATAGCTGTCAGTAAAACAATGACCAGGAGGATACCAGGGCAATACAAACACAGGACATGCAACGTTTCAGAAAGATAGATAATTTTCCAGCTCACCCTTTGGGAAGAGTAGAACGGGAAAGGATTGGAAAGCGTGGAAAAGAAAGAATGTGGAAAGATTTCTGAGAGCCTTCCATGGGTGGAGAGTCTGGGGAATCTCTAAAGACAAGGTACATGCAGACAAAATAGAGACAGTCAACTAGTATATTGAAAAGAAAGGCACTTGTTACCAGGAGAGAAGGCATTTTAATTGAGTTTAGGTAGGTCTAAAACAACATTTTGCAGCCTGGATAACAAGATAATCTTGCCCCTCTAAAACTGCAGAATAGCAGAAAAGTATTAAGTATCTGCAAGGAAGTTCCCAGTCTGGGAAAAATTAAGAATCACTGATCTAAGTAATTAATTTATTTTACAAAAAGCAGTTATTGCGAAAGATGAAGAATTAACAGCTGTGGAGTTTGACATTCACTATGTAACAACAGAACAGATAACACTTCAGACAGCAATGCCACAGGCTTCCCACAAACATACAACTTCAACTAAAAAGGTCCCACTTCCTCTGTTCAGAGGCTGTGAAGGCAATTTAGTTTCTATTCCAAACCAATCCTGCAACTCTTCTGAGAGTTAGAACAAGGGAGTCAATCAGTTGTACTAGTGGCTTTTGTAGCATCATCTCTTTGCTGACTTCAGCAGGCTCTGAATTAGGCCTTTTGTAAATAACTTACATAGTGCTTGGCTATGTAAAAAGGAATGAAATTAGTATTCAGGGAATCAGACTTAATACAACAGTCTACCCACTGAGCCCAATTTTTTTGTCTCGGGCTTATATACATCAAGTAAATTGACAGAAACCAAAAGGATTATGTCAATGTAAAAGAGGAGACGAGAGTTGGGATCTTGATTTGTATCTGGGGAACTAGTCCACTTAAATTTAATTTACTCAATTGTATTTTATTTATTTTTATTTACTGATACTACTTCAGCTATATGGATTTTAAATCTATCTAATGGACTTCATACATTAGAACCATCAACCCAGCACTTGTCAAGAAATCTACATGTACTTCCCTTGCCTAAAATAAGTCCAACATCCTTTAACAATTCAGTCAAAAGAGCATTTAGAACTCTATCGATTTCAGTACCTTGCAAATACAATAGTATTAAAAGCTCACATAAATGCACAAATGCATAAATGCACTTACAGAACTGAGATCCAGTAACATCAAGAATGTTATGATTTTAGTTATGTCTCTCTCCAGTTTATAAAAACACTGTCTTCTATTATAAGGGTGCAAGTGTATAACGTAAGCACTTTCTATAATGTAAATCTTAGAATTGGCAAATAATGTTTGGTCAAAAGCATAACAAGTAATTAATTACTGTAATCTACAATAAATAGCAGATGATACACAACATTTACATTCATTATGGTATTCAGATGCTTGGAGTCCTTCCAAGACTACTCTACTTACATGCTACATTTATTTAGTCTGTAAAACTTGTGTCTGGCCACACACATCCTCCACACATATTTTGCTGTTTCCATGTCTTCCTGCCAAACAAACAATCAAACGAAACATGTATTAGAAAAATTATGCAGGCTCAACCCTCAATTGCATCAAAGTCAAAAGACCACTGAGTCAAATCAAAACAAGATTTGGTTCCTCTTCATTTTGATGGGGGAAGTTTTCAAGTTTCTTAAAACCTGAATAAATTAGCAGTCCTAATGGAACTGAAAATAACAGCCTTCTCCTGAAGACAATCTTAGGAACAATAAAACTGAACAATCTTTTACACTGTATATATCACACTCTTAAGCCTTTTGAAAAAATTACAGCTTTGAAAAAGGAAACAGACATGCTTTCTGAGCCAAGTTCTATAAGATGCTCAGCATTGATTCAACCTAGCAAGGCCTCAAATATGTGCTTATCTTTAAACACGTGAATAGTACCATTCACTTCCAAGTACTACTTAAAATTAAGGACATGCTTAAGTACTTCCTTGGATTGGACCAGAATGCTCAGCATGTAAGAACATATGTAAGAACATAAGACGTGCCATTCACTGGGCCAGACCATAGGTCCCATCTTGCCCAGTACCCTGTGTCACACTGTGGCAGAGAAAGGATGCTGAAAGGGAAAGTGAAGTGGGCATGACCAGGGCTTTTTCCACTGTTCTCCTGTCACTTGCAGCCTCCAGCATTTCAGGTCTAGGAAGAGGTCTGAATCAGAGGCTGTACAGCACCTTCTGAAAAGGGATCAAACCTTTAGTTTATTTACTGAAAGGGCTGAATTTTTAATATTGTTTACTTTAGTAGAAAATGGATGAACCAGCCACAGAAATTAAAATACTGTAATAGTCGTGTTATCCTTACTTAAATCTGTCACATATCAAATACAAATGTGAAACAATATTTGGACAAAAGTAGCTTTTTTAAGTCTTTCCTGTTTTGTGGTTTGGTACTTTAGAAAGATAGAAATTAAAAATGCATTCACTTACAGTTTGGAATTGGATGGTCTCTTCTTTATTTGCCAGCTCTAGTGCAAAAAAGGACTTGTTGTGGGACATGTTGGCAATGTCATGCCACCTAAGGACAGAAGGGAAACAGTGCAGGAAGTAAGCTCTGCATTTGTATGGTATAGCAAGGTAACCTAGGAACAAAAAGTATCTTGCGGGGTTAGGTAGGGGTGGGCAAAATACAGTCTGTAGACTGGATCTGGCTTGCCAACTGATTGGGTCTGGGTCACAGGGAGATGCCCACCAAGTGATTATATCTGGCCCACGGCTGGCCCTGTGGCAGTCTGCATAGGGTCAAGCCTTGCCCATTCTCACTTGGGGAAGCCTGTACTGCCTTCCTGTCTACCAATGGCCCTGGCTAGCATGCATAACTTCCCAGGGAGACTGTTCCTGGTGCGCCTGCAGCTGCCTGGGTGTTCTTGGCTCCCCCCGTGCTCCTGCTGCACCACTCAAGACAGCAGCTAGCACAGGGAAAGGCAGCAGCCATGCAGACGCATGTTGGGCACCACAGGCCCAGCCAGGCGGGGGGAAACTGCAGCCCAGCAGCTCCTGCCCTGGCATGTGGGAATCCAGCTCCAGGTCCTGGCCACCTTCCATCCACTTGACTACTTGCAGGTGGCTTCTCATTTCACTGAGTAGGTGAGTGGGTGGCATGGATAGAAGGTGGCCAAGAGCTGGAGCCCCATGCACTGGGACAAGAGGTACCCAACTGCAGCTTCCCCCTCATCTCACTGGGCTTGTGGTGCCTGGCACATATCCCTGCATAACCTGCTGCCTGGAGCAGTGCAGCAGGAGAGAGAGGAGGAGGAGGAGGAGGAGGAGTCGCTGACAATGGGGGGGGG